TGCATGTGCAGGGTAAGTTGACCGTTTACTGGTTTGGGCGTGTGTGAGTGAGGTTGATGTGGCGTAGGTGGTGGTAGCGGCTTAGTGCACACGCTATACTGAGTGTGTGTACTGATTACATCTTTCATTTGTAACTTCTGTAGTGGTCTACAATTTTGATGAGAGAGATTAATTGCCGCATGGTACACTTGCTAGAGATGATGTATAATTGGCAAGACAATCTATCTGCATTTCATCCTCATGAGATAGTAGCGAGGTCTTAGTTTTGAGAGTATTCATTCTGCTTATAGACTGTGGATTTGTTCATATCAATTAGACTTAGTAGAAAAAATTACGCAAAAATAGAGGATGAGTTATTTAAGCTTCTCTGTAGAGTGGCGGAACTTTTCTATATAGCAGAAATGGTAACGGCGATATGAGAAATATTATAAGCGCATTGAAGAGTACCAGATTTGGTTATTTTACAAAAAAGGACAACTCGATACATATTCATCTATATACTAAAGGCATTCAGAAATTGTTACGAACGGTTCTTGGATTTGCCATAAATTCTAGTAAATGATCGAGAAGCATTTTGTCAAATATTCGTTCAACTCTCTGTGATTGTCTGAATCCTTGTAACGTGGTTGTAGTTTTTTGGGCTCATCATCTCTAATGGTCTTAAATAAATATCAACTACTAATATCCTATTCTACATAAGAACGATATTATATTCATATCTGATGGCAAGTAAATGGAGAAGGTTAATTTAAATCTTAAATGGTAATGAATCACAAACATTTGAAAATCGCAGTCTTGGTCTTATTTAATAAGATCCAATAACAAGGGCAAAGCAGGCAATGTGTTGAGACAGAGGTCCTTTCGATCGACTAACAATATTAGTTTGAACTGTTTAATTTGATAAACCAGAGTATAAATACGCATTACCTACTTTTTATGGATATTATGAAATGAATCGTGATTTTGTAATTCACATAAAGGATTATTGATATACAAACATTAATATTTATTATTGTAATATAGCTTTTCATGCTTTCATAAATGTTTCTTTAAGGAAAATGTTTGATTTACCTTATAGAGCAGTGATCTATCCACCGATAAGAATAATCATATAATAGAATTGTGTAGAAATATCAACCTTCTAAGCTTCTGGTAGTAAAGTTTTTGTATTCCTAATCTGCTTATTATTACATGTACTAAACATCATGTATCTAACATATCAATAATATATGAAATCATTGGATTTGTAATATTATGAGATTTTTACCTTTATCGTAAGTTCACCCATTCGATAAAATATGCTGTGGTTGGCACTATCACTATAGGTGCCATAACTATGACACTATGACTGGCTCTATAAAAATCGGGTAGTTATCTTAACTACGTTATTAATTCGCAGCAATAAGGTTATTTTATTTACTTCCTCTCGTGTGAACACACAATTTAAACCATACTCATATTTTGAATATTTCTGGTTACAGCGAGTAGGGACGTGGATGTGGTAAGTATCCACTGTTATTAATCTGTGTTGATATTAAGATATGAAGTATTTTGGCATACAAAATAATTATGGAGAGATGTTGCAATTATTCGGTTATGTAGATATAGGCTAGTGACTTGTCTAGAGATATCGATATATTTTTACCATATTTATTACATAAACGCTAATTATTAGAGATTGTACTAGTTATAAGTGTGGTGAGACATTAATAAATATGATATAATTGATAATATACAATATATATTCTATATTGGTAAATTATATAGGTATAGACTTAGATAGTTTTATTATAGAATATAAGACTTGGCTCATTTTGATCTCATCTAAGTCTGAGTATTTCTGGCTCTTATATATAACGAGAGAAATTAGATGCTCTAAATTACCGGGTAGTATAATAACTATAGTTTTACGCCATGTTTTGGTGAGATATTATAAACTTAAAAAATCACCTTCACTTTTCGTTAAGTGATTATATAATTCATCATATTTATTCAATATTATAATTGATATAAACATAATGAGTGAAAAAATGTGTAACAGGATCTATGTGCTGAGAGAGTGAGTCGATTATTAGATGCTGCAAAATGCGGCTACACAGGATTTCAAAATAAAATTAAAGACACACGCGACCAACCACGGAGTACTTCTATTACTGAAGTTTGAGAGTTAATCTGAGTGAGAACACTGTTAGACACACTCAACCAATTTGTCTTCACAATGACACCAACTCTCTAGACATAAAGTTTGTAGATAGATAAGTTTATTAAAACATAGAACTCATACGATGTGGCGGCCAGATGAGAGTGCGATTGTTACGATCAGAAGACTATGTGGGTATTTAGCGGTGTAGTATGGCCGGGCAAGTGCTCAATATTAATACTATATCGACTGTGTATTCGTCTATAAAACAGTACTCTGAGAATGTGCAAATAATAACCATAATATATAACGATATCTGACTTTAATAGGTAGCTCTTTTGTAAAAGATCTTCTGTAGAATTTAATTTTTCAAGTGCGAATAAGTAATGAAATGCTAAAAATGTTAAGGTGGGTAGAAGATAGCTCAGGGGGCGACTCAGTCTACAAAATTAGTGGGGCGCGGTGTGTCTTCATGGTCAGGGCCTGGAAATTCTCGTTATGTTTACTTAACCGCAAGCCGGCTCTGCCCGGGCTGTATATAACAACTGGTGGCAAAGGCTAATTACTTTTGTCAATCTAGTGCTTTACTTCTTATATGGTTAATTGGGAGCGGTAAATAGCTAGCATGGCAAAGAGAGGGATAGGAGCAATATCATAATTACCTTCATGTTTACGACTCTATAATGGAATCAAAATAATTTGATAAAGAAATAAATCATCATGGGTATTTATACAAGTCGTTCTAGATATTAACTCACGCTCTCAGGTTCGGAGGCAATATGCTTTATTTCACCTTTGTTTTTGGAAATGTTATTAGTACTATTTGACATTTTCTAACATTATTATATTTCTCGCACTTCAACTACTCACAATTCCATCACGTTGGACTAATGATTTTCGCGCAGCTAAATTAATAGAATATATCATGTTAAATATGTTAATTTATTGGAATGAGGAGTGGACCCTAACATGTTTCTATTCGTGATTATTTAATAATGAGTTATTGGTATAGTCTTATATATATTGCCCTGAGAGATAGCTTGACTCAGTATTGTCTCAATGATTTTATAAAATTATGGCCTTATAATTCTATATGTATACGATTGTTCGTGATTAGTTAGCGATTATGTTCAGTTTAGTAGTATATAGTTGGAAGGTGTATCAATCTTTTATGTTATTGTCGGATTGGTCTTGTGGGTACATATTAGTCTATATATTTGTATATTGTTATCCTATCATGCGCATTATTGTGAAGTTATTATGCACTATAATATATTATGTATTATCTTAGGCTCGTACTTATTTTCAATGTTTATGCTGATGTAAGCGTATGTTTTATACAATGTGATGCATATCTCTCTCTGGTGCAGTGTACATCTATTCGAGGTGTTGTTGTTAGATGTTATATTTATTTCTAATTGACTGTACATAACTATTTGTTCTAAATGTTTTCTAGTATCTCTCATACTAATGTAACTTTTTGGTACTCTTAATTGTAGTCATTGGAGATTTACATTATTGTATATTTATCATTAGTCTTTCTATTATCTTACTAGAACCTTTTGTGATTACATATTCCATATTTGTGAAATGGTACATTGATATTTTCATCATGAGAGTCTTGTAATTCGTCACGAGGATATTTAGTTCTTTTACAATGATATAATATCACGTATAATTAGATTACTATTCTTGTGGGAAGGGCTTAAATGTGTACTATGGTGATATCTATAGTTTTGGATAAGTGTCTTCTATGCAGATTGGGCATAATTATATAGGAATATCTCGATGATATTATGTATACAATATTATTCTTTTAGTTCCGACGAGCAGAAGATCTATTGTAAATGTACATATGTGTGTAACACATGTTTTGATAAAATAAGTGCGTATCATATTTCCATATATAGGTTACATTATATTTGTATGTACATATGTCTCCAGATCGCAGCCTATTGAAATTGTATAAGCGACAATAGTTATGTAACAATATCACTCTTATTTCTGCCACTAATCGTTTACATTGGATTTTTTCACTCACATAGATATTAGTAATAATGTAACACATTATTAGATAACGTTAAGCGTAGGATATTTTTGTGATGTTACAATTACTCTATATCCATGTATGACATATAATGAATCATGATGACACTCACCTATATTGATTCACATAAATATGAATAATATAATTGTAAAACGTATTTTACATTATTTTCTATGTTTCGCTAACCTCTGAGTACATAGATAGAATTCTAATTATGAAATTTTGTTAATTGTATGACAAAAGTATAAAGCAACAATCGAACACCCGAGATGTAGAGTTCGGTTGACTGAATACGCGAATATATTCTACGCTTACGTGATTTAATATTCTAGAATAAAGCGTGAAAAGCCCCAGGGTAGAGTGATTTGCATCCCGTTAATCATCGAGAAGCAATATTGTCATGATTATTACTATTATATCTCTCTACAAAATGAAATTCTGGCTAATGTAGCTATTTCATACATGACTCTCTGTGAGTTAAGAGAATAGTATATATATTTCTTGAGACTGTTACACATGGAGGTACACTGGTGTGTTGTGGATGATTACTAGCTATATAGTTAATCACATGATGCTGTTGTTAAGTTAAAATACACTGATTATAACGCTAACTTTGGTTGAGACTTGATGTTTTTATTATTTTCCTTAATTATAGCATGAATGTATTATATTTTCCTTTACATTTTAACCGCATGAAATAAATTTAGTTATATTTATGCAGGACCGAATAAATTCAGTGCTATTTTGGTGCATATATTGTATGTTTGTGGGGTACATATTTCAAAATGTAGGACATATTTATTTCAGTTTCGGTTTTGACGTTACTACTAGCGTATAACATGATTGATGTAGAGCCTTTCAAACGTGGGTTATTCTGTAATGATGAGACCATTCAGTACCCGTATAAAGACGACACCGTCAGCGACAGTTTAGTCGCTATTATTTTCGTCCTCGTACCTATTGTAGTCGTAAGTATGAGCAAATGATACAAGACCATATACATCTGTGAACATTTTAGAAAAAAATGTTTAGTTAATACTAATAATAATTTATTTCGTTCGATTGTGTTGAAAGCTATAAGCTGATTCATCAATCTATTCCTGGAAATCAATGAGTGTAAAGTTTCTTGGTTACGGACAGGGTTTCTTGTTGCCTCTGACAGGGATTGAACCAAATTACACGAAGGATGGAAATTCTTATGATAACTTTCACGAAATTGGTCGGAAAACATTTGCATAAACTACAAAACACTCGTCAAAAAAATAATTTTTATATTTAAAAAATGAGTTTTAGGTGCTAAATCAAACTTTAATGATTAAGCTTACCTTACATCTTGTATTATATACACAAAAGTGATTCATAGGCCATTTTTCATCACCTCTTGCTTAATTCATGAAATCAAGATTTCGTCCTTATGAAGCTGAAATCGTGATTTCACGAAGTTAAAATCATGGATTCACGATGTTGAAATCGTGAAGTCTATCAAACCGTGAACTCATGAAGTTAAAATTGTTAATTGTGAAGAAAGACCCGAGAATATGTCACGATCGGTCTTTCGTAAATATACTCTCTTGAGTTTATGTTTGGATAATCTTCTTTCAGATGCTTATCATAGAAACGGCTTACACTATTTCCTCCACAAACAGACAGACAAACGAAAAGAAATTTTTAGCACAAAAACTCTCGGTGAAGTTGTACAGGTAAATCTGTTTCATTTTTAAGTTCATTATCATCAAAATTGGTTTTATAACATAACATAACATAACATAACATAACATAACATAAATTTTATTTAACATAAAATTGTAAACATACAATTTATAGTCAAATCATATTCTGTATAGTGTAATAAGTGTTACAAGTTACAATTAGCCGAGAAGTATTGTTAACCAGTATGAACAAATGTTATGATATATATAACAGAGTTTGCATTTGAAATAATTATAAATGTAAGAAACAAATGTACTTTAACAAAGAAGAAAAAATATTTGTTAACGTTGCCGAGAAGTATTGTTGACAGATATAAACAAAGGATACGGCATAATTGCATAAAAAATACTTATTCATGTACACAGTTGTACGAGATTTGTTCACGTCGTGCCGAGAATTATTGGTGACAAGTATAAACATAAATACACTTAAATATGTAAGAAGCTAAGTAGAAAGATATTTGTTAACGTTATATCATATCGATATCCACAAATCAAACGGCAATAATAATATTTCTAAGATGACATAACCGTTGTATATGTACTAATCATTTATTGTCGTAGTTATCTCCCATTTGCTTGTAAATCATAAGAAAAAAGTATGTTATTGGTTATTAAAGTCTCTCTTTAAATGCGTAATACAGATAACTTGCCAGATTATTAATTGTTTTGATATTTGTGCTTGTCATTAGTGTTTCGAATTTCTGCATTGAAGGCCATCTTCAAAAATATGGTTTAAAAAACTTTCTACGTAAATTGTAATATTTCGGGCATATTAATAAGAAATGATATTCTGTCTCTACTAAATTTAATGAACAATTTCGACATTTTCTGTTTTCTCTTGGAATATTATCGTGCCTTCCTTTTTCTATTTCGAGATTATGAGCTGATAGTCTAAATTTGGTTAAAATAATCCTATGGCTATCTTTGTTTATAACGCTTAAATACTTTTCGCACTGAAATTCGTGTTTAAAATGACTGTAAGACGAAAGTCTGTTAGAGTTATTAATACTTGAATACAAATTTTGTTTGTAGATATCTAAAATTCTTTGCTTTATGACACATACATTTATATTTAAATTATCTTGTTGTAGCCAAAAGTAAGACATTCCTATTTGGTTCAATATATCTTTTATTTAATAAGCCCAGTTTTTTTCTCTGTATGATAGCTCATTATCTGCATCTTCTTTTAGCATGTTATACATTTTTTTAAGAATTGAGTTATCAGGTGACTTAAGTATTTTAATCCAGTATTTGAACATTATGATTTTACGGTATATTGCCATTGGATATCTCCCTATTTCTCCATATAATGCTTCTAGATTTGTTGATTTACGGACACAAAGGATCTTTCGAATAAATTTACAATGTACAAGTTCTATATTTTTACAATCATAGTATCCAAACACTTCTGCGCTATAATTTAAGACGGATCCAACTAGTGTATCAAACAGTTTACATTTATCTTGAATCTTTAGATCAAGTTGGTTAAATACTGTAAAAAGGTTATGCATAGAAAATGATGAATGTTGAGCAAGAGGCTTTTGAGTCCGATTCCAATGTCCATTTTTAAAGAAATAAACGCCTAAATATTTAAAGCTTTTAACAATTTCTAAGGTCTGACCATTGAAAATGAAGTTAAACGTTGAATGTCTACCTTGTTCAAATATCATTATTTTAGTTTTAGAAGTGTTATCTTTTAGATTCCATGTTTGGCAGTATAAATTCAAATCATTTAACATTGATTAACTCATTTGATATCATGCTAAAAAATAGCACGTTACCGTTGTTATTAACGGTAATTAACGTTACAAAAACGCACGTGCTTTATTATAAAATTGCTAAAAATAGTGTTATTAAATTATCGTTTTTATTTAGTTGCGAAAATCGCACGGGTATGTGATAAATGTTAAGTTATCTCATGTAAAGTTTCTTTTTTCTTTCAGAACAATTGGAGCATTTTTATTCGCCGCGACATGTACATTATTTCTAACAGAAACCATGAAATTATTTGGAGGAAGGCTCCGTCCTCATTTTGTATCTTTATGTAAACCAGACTTTTCTAAAATTAACTGTTCCCAAGGTTACATTATGATACCAACTGACGCGTGTACATCAGACGTGACAAAGAGGAAACTTTTGGATTCAAGGTATGGCTATAATTGGGCGCTTTGCATGCTGGGGAAATTGTCGTCTGTAAAAATGTCTGCTTAATGTTTTGAATTTCATCTATTTGGTCTCGAAATAGAAAATAAAAAATTTTGACTGTCAAACAAGTAGTTACCTGACAAGAGGCTGTGATACTCGACCCCTGGTTAGGCACCAAATTGTTTGGAAAGGCTTATTTGATTAAAAAAAATCTAGAAAACTCCCAGCAGCTTTAGCGTTAAGAATTTTTTAATAAGTGCGACTGGTATGGTCTCCGTTGCTCTGGAAATATCATAACAACACATTTTTTTACATTAATTTTGACCTAGCACTCAAGCTTTCATTATCGAAAGAAATTTGATTTTGCATTATTGTGAATATATATAATGAATAGACATGAAACTTTAAATTTTCAAAAATGTCGTACTTAAAGCAGAAATAATAAAATGTACAGAGTGTTGTCTTAATGAAAATCATTGATGAAAATCATTGAAGGTATTTTTACCGTTTGCCCATCCTGTCAAATAACAAAATTGGATCTAATAATTACCTTTAGCTTATTAATGAATTAATATCATTATATATCAAAGTACTTAAAGTATTAAGAATGATCAGGCACGCTTTACGGACATATATTACTAGGAAGTTAACAGACTTAGGCTTACTGAAAGCTGGTTCTTCTACACATGTGCCCGGCTCGTACCGTAAATAAAGCACGAAGGGGTCACAGGTTTTACTTGTTTTCCAAGTGAAATAATACAATAAATGCTATAAAACCATGTTAAAATACTTTTGACAGGTAAAATATAATTACTTAATATTTACTAGCTGATACATGTGTAACCTTGTTTTCCAGTCAATAAACGTCGTTATAAAAACGCACGTGCTTTCTTCTATACCTAGTTTATAAATCGCTCGCTCGTATGACCAAGAATGAAAACTCTGTCAGTGAGTAGAACAATCCATGAATTTTGAAGATAAGTATCTAACAATATATAATTAACTTACCTTAATAAGATTATGAAGAATTTATTAATAATTCTGTCATTTTATTCCAGGAAATCATTTCCATCAGGCCATGCTTCTTTGTCAACATTCGGTGCAATATATTTACTGGTAAGAGTTTATATATTATCATTTAATGATAATATTATTATCATCTCTTTCGATAATTCTCCATAATTACACAATCACTAAGAGGTAGCTCAACCAACGTTAAACATGTCACTTTGACCAACTTTAATGCGCTGCGCATAGGTTTGATTTAATTAGCTACTAAGGAAGAAACAAAGTTAAACGCATTATATAAGATATTACACTATGAACTTTTCTTTAAATTTGTATAAAAGAATTTTATGAATATTTAATAACTTACATGATTTAAGTTAAAAAAAAAAACATGTTCATTTACCATGTTAATTGGCTTGTGAAGTCTCAAATGCAGCCTTTGCTGTTTACTAGGATTTTTTTATTAATCTTATCCAGAAAAAAATATGGCGGACCATGGGTCAAATAATCTTAAATATCTATAAAATAGTAAGACATTATGTACAGTTTATTTTACATAATTTATTCAGATTTTATTTTTATTTTTAGGCTTTTCTGCAGCTCCGTTTCACATGGACGAAAAAAATAAGAATATTGTTGCCATTACTACAACTTGGAATTTTATGCGCAGCCATATTTGTTTGTATTTCCCGCGTGAATGATAACAAACATCATTTTAGTGACGTCATCGCTGGTGCTATTTTAGGAACGGTCATAGCTTTATTGTCGGTAAGTTTCTTCTTTGCTAGTAATAAATCATTTAGAACATAGTCTTAAACATAAATTTTGATGATATATTAAAGTCTGTAATTTAAAATGGTGTTATACATGTATAATCGGTATAATAGAGAGCGGCGTATCACTTTCATTTCACAATAGCTAAATGGACCATTTATTCACGGACCCTATAGAGCATAATTATATATAAGCGAGTCGCCATTTTGGCATTTTCTCAAATAATGACGTCACAGATGAGAGTGCCCTCTGGCATGTCAAAAATGTAATAAAAATAGGAATTACAAAAATGTTCGGAGTATCACGACAACATCCGAAACTAGTCGATATTTGCCGATTCGTTTGAAAAGGGTACACGTGCACAGCAAATAATTCCCATATCCAAATACTGTACTAGTGTATAAATTTTATGTTTTTCAGTTAAAATACGTGTCTTGTATACGAAAGGATGTGTCACAAGAAATCCATCTACCCGAACAGTCACGTGACAGATCTAGTAATCCTGTACTTATTAACAATATAACAACAACAACAAATTCAGGACAGTCTCCAAACATTGCTGTTGAGATGAAAGAAGTATGACACAACAAATATAATGATTATACAGTCGACTTCGCTTATAAAACGAACTCAATAGGACATTTATATATCGTTCGTTTTATTCGGAATTCGCTAGAAGCCAAGCAGCAACAACTTTCGCTGGGCATTTTTGTCGTGAAAAAAGCCATACCTATTACTGAATAAATTATACAGTTATTTAAAGTGGATTGGTCTACAATGGGCACATTTTCCATAAGTATTTCAAATATGGATTAAAACAATAGAAATGTATAATGTGGATATTCTTACCATATATTGCTTGAAAAACTTAAATATTATGATATTCTGTTCTAGAACAATTTAATATATGAGCCGCGTCACGACAAAACCAACGTAATGCGTTTGCGTCCAGCATGGATCCAGACCAGCCTGCACATCAGGATCCATGCTGCTGTTCGCTTACAAACCCAAGAAGAGAAACTGATAGCGAACAGCATGGATCCTGATCAGACTGCGCGGATGCGCAGGCTGGTCTGGATCCATGCTGGTCGCAAACGCACTATGTTGGTTTTGTAAAGATGGACTCATATATGTTGTATGAATATATATAATATCAGATCATGTATCTCACACTTGCCAACAACATCTCTATATAATTCTGTCATGATTTGTTGCTATGTCTGATACTAAATGCTGTCAACATAATTATTTATTGTATTACAGACCAATTCACTTTAAAGCAATATTATAACTAAATAAATGATACAGGAATTTAAAGCAATATTACACCAATATTTGATACTGATGTATAAAGACGTTGATATATGAAATACTAAAATAGAATATGATAATTATAATTGTATGTATTCACATACAATTATAGAAATTTAAAGCTACATGTATATATCTTATTTAACATCACATTTCTGTTTGTTTGTTGTTGTTGTTTTTCGTTTTTTTTTGTTGTTGTTGTTTTTTTTGTGTTTTTTTTTTTTTTGTTTTTTTTTTTTTTTTGGGGGGGGGGGGGTTGGGGGGGGTATTTTTTTTTCGGGGGGGGGGTGTTGTCGCCGATTGCTTTTTTTTCCGTTTGTTGTTTTTTTATGTTTTTTATAGTTTGCTTTTTTTTTACTTACAGTATAAAATTATTTGACATATTCGTTTTAAAAATGGAATGCAATACATGTAGGAAATATCATATGTGTTTGGTCGCAGAATAAAGAAAGCCAGGCCATAATCAATAAATTTGGATCCAATACTTATTTATATAAAATGGTGCACATGCTTGAAGCTCATTGGATATATTAAAAAGATGTGATAGTTATATTCATTGTTTTATCTCAATGCTTGTTTCAGTTAACTTTATTTAATATTTAACATCGTACTGTTATTATTTGCTTTCGTGAAAAAGTTGAATCGTTTTGGACCATTTCTAATTTACAAAAATCATGTTTTGGACACACCAGATACAGAAACGAATGTAGACTTAATCAAAATACAAAACAGAAATTGGGATACACATGTACATGTATATAAAAAATGCAAGAATATATTTCGATTTTATGTTTTTGCTGTGTTATTATTTTTATGATTTTGTTGTTGTAATAAAAAACAACAACTTAAACAAACTTTGATATGTCTAAAAAAGTAGAAAGCATACCCTGTGAATGACTTACTTTCACTGTCATAAAAAGAGTTTTATACATGTAGTGCACATCAAGAACAGTGAAAAGTCACATATTATTTATGTTTTATGAATAAAACTAGAATTTTATTAAAATATGATTTGTTTCCTTTCCTCTTATACATGTAATTCAATTTTATGAATGGCAGTGTTCAATATTTATTGGTGTAAATACAATGTTGTTTTTGTCATATGTATATCATACATTAATAAGGCCAATATAATAAAATTATAAACGTTATGGTATTTTTTTTAACTGATGATCAATTTTGAGATACATATGTGGTTCAGCCACCGTGTTTATGACAAAACTAACTGAATATGGATAAGACAATTTTTGCTGACCAGAATACTCATAATAAAATATGTAAAAATATGACAATATGACAATAAACTATATAATAAAAGTACAAAATTAAAAGTTGGGATAAACAATTGGCATTCATGTACTGTTCCCTATTCAAATTTCGTTAGGCGTTAAAAAGGTACGATGATAAAAAGTCGAAACCACGATAATGAAAAGTCGAAACCACGATGATGAAAAGTCGAAACCACGATGATGAAAAGTCGAAAGTATGAAGGCGAAAAGTCGAAAGAATGAAACCACGATGGTGAAAGGCCGAAAATACGGTGATGAAAAGTCTAAAGTACGATGGTTAAAGCATGAAATTATATCGAGGTCTTTCCATCGTGGTTTCGTTTACCGACTTGTCACCGTCGTACTTTCCACCTTTTAAATGTTAAAGTTTTTCTTATTACTTATAACTTCTAATATTTCACCAATAAACTCTCTTGCTTCTTTTACTTCTTCTTCTTCTTCTTCTTATTTTTATTTTTATTATTATTATTTATCATTTTTTTATTATTATTATTATTATTATTATTATTATCATACAGATATTCCCAATGAACGAAATGCTATGCCCGTCGTTGTATTGAAATGTTACAAATAATTTTATGGCCAGTCAAGGGCTTCTTCTGAGGTCATAAAGTCCCAAAACATAAAATTGAGTTTCATATATACAGATCAAAAAAAGGGGCACTTTAAAACAGAAAGATATCCAAAACGTGAATGAAGAATATGCTCAAACATCTATTGAAAATCGTATTTTTGTGCTTTTCTTAACCCGATTTGAGTTAAAAACGTTGCAAACACTTTTCAATTCTATGTTATTTCAAGCAGTTATCATTCGTGATGAAGATGTAAAAATGGAGTGAGCGAATAATCTGAAATTTTACTACATAAATCATTTGTTCATATCTACATCAAATAGACAATTAATCTCGAACAAAATATTTCTAGTCCCATCATGTCAAAACAACCTCGTGATCGGCGGATTCCCTTTAAGCTGGTAATGCGCAGCAGTTCAATAAAGATATCGTAATTATTTTAATTGCATATACTGACATAGGCAATCTGAAGTCTCCTGGAAGGTTGCCTTGGCCACGATAGTTAGCAAATGACACGATTTGAAAACTATAATAATACAAATGGTCAGGCGATCCAAAATGATCAATGTCATTACACGCTTTATTACTTCACCATACGTTTAGTTTTTGTTTTGTAGAAACAGATGAGAAAATTATGGTTAGATACAGCTTGCAAGGATTTATTTCTATTATACGGATTTTTATATGAATAACGTTTATATTCATTGGAAGTAAGTGCGATTCAAGTTTTGCAAAATAACAATTATATGGACATAGTTAACATTCTAGAAAAAGAATTATACAAACTACAAACCCATAAAAAGTAATTTCAGGTCAATTCTGACCTTTCTATAGAGACAGGTCGCTATTTTGGTGTTGAAAGAGAAAAAAGAACGTGCTCACTTTGTAACCAGCAAGAAATAGGTGATTAATTTCATTATATTTTTAAAATGCAGTTATTTTACTCTTGAAAGACACAGGTATATCATTAATTATTCATATATTCCAATCTCTGTCATTCACATTTCAATTTCTACAAAATTATCGCGTAAGAAATATTTACTTTTTAGAATTAGAGATAATTGTTAAATAATTTCAAAGAATGTTTGTATAGGTTTAATTTACAGTGTTAAGTGTATGGTAATAGGAACAAGACAAAAAGTAAATATTATGAGAAAATTAATTCTTAAGATAAATGAAATAGCTCTTGAAAATGTAACTGATCAAAAAGTCTTGGGTATTTGCATAGATAACAACTTAAAATGGCACTTGCAAATTGACAATGTTTGTAAAAAACTAAACGGAAAAATTGCCTTATTGAAAAAAATATCGTATTTTGATATGAAATTATTGTTTTACAATGCATATATATTGCCCATTATGGACTATTGTTGTATTATATGGGGTAAAGGAAACACAAACTACATAAATAATGTTTGTAAGTTACAAAAACGAATTGCTAAAATCATTTTACAGCAACCTCAAAGATCTCCGTCAATAAATCTATTCGAAACTCTTAATTGGTTACCGTTCCTTGACAGATGTAAATACCACTAGGCGGTGCTTGTTTTTAAAACTTTAAATAACATGGCACCGACTTATATGACAGAACTGATGACTTTATCCGACAACAAAATATATAACTTAAGATCTAGGTCACGAAAAGATATTGTATTATGGACAAGACCTAAAACAAATTATATTAAAGACACATTTTCTTATTATGGCATGAACATTTGGAACAATATACCTTTAAATATTCGTAATGTTAATAACCTTAAATGTTTTAAAGAAAAATACAAAGCATATCTTGATGTTCATATGAGTGAATGAATGAGTGAATGAATGAATGAATAAATATATACGAACGAACGAATGATGCAATATACGTATATGTTTAAACAAATTGTTGAGTGTCTGTCGAAAGTATATGAGTTGTATTATTCTAAAAATTACATATTATACACTCATTTTTCTACCTATGCATATCCTGTTGTTGTTGTTGTTGTGTTGTTTTCTATTTCAGAAGGCCACATTGGAAATAAGATATATATGATTGTTATTATATGTTCTTAATGTGTAACCTTCTTTAAATAAAGATATTATTATTTTTATTATTATTATTATTACTATTATTATAAGGGTGCACTTGGTTTTTTTCCCCAATTTTCCTCATGGGGTATCCCAAATTTCTGCAATACTAAGAACCAAAACGTATTCTCCAAATAGAAAATTTCCTTGAAATATCGTCAGTGTGATCTTTATAAATAACTTTAGTACTTGCAACAGCTAAAGTTTGTCACTTGAACAGTACTTGGTGTGGAAATTCGAATGGTAAGTTACATGCACATCAATATTACCATGTCCATATTTGACACGACTGTTGTCACGCAGTTTCCATTTTTATACCCCCATTCTGGAGAGGGGGCATTTAGATTTGCCTTTGTCTGTTCGTCCCTCCGTGCGTTTGTGCGTGCGTTCTCATGTAGTGTCACGTGTTGCTGAAAAAGTGTTTCAGCAAGAGTCAACAAACATGACAGGAATGGTTGATCAGTGTACACCTGGGGTTTTGCGTGTAGATTTATTCAGTTTTGTCAGAGATTTTGCCTTTAATTTAGCGGTTTGTATCAGGTGGTTTATGGACGGTACTGGAAAGTTCAAGTTACCTTCTGCGCCCCCTAGCACCGGCTTAAGTAACTGGCAAAATTGAAAATGTTATAAACCGTGTGCAGCCGATACAATACTGCATATTTTATACCAATTTTGCAAATGTCGTGTTTTAATAAGCAATTGCTTTTATTGAGAACTCTCTGTGTATTAAT